GCTGGCAAATGGAACTTTTGAAGCTCCAAAAGAATAACAAGCCATTTGGATGCAGAACAGAACTAATGAAACATTGTACTATCGAACCTTACACTATACCTAGTTTCCCCCCTTGGAAAAATAATGCTCCAAAAGTGTCGATAGAATTAAGCGAAATAGTGAACAAACATGAAAACCCATCTTATTTACGTCAACGCAGTTTAGAATTGATCAGTACCAAATGGCCAATACAACTACACATCTATACAGATGGGTCAAAGGTTCCAAGTTTTGGAATAAGTTCTGCTTCTTTTTATGTACCTGCATTCTCCTTTCAACAAGCCAAACGATTGGCGGATCACACCTCATCTTTCAGAGCTGAATTGGCTGCAATTGTCCTTGCGCTTAATTGGCTAGAGAACATTAATGTGTATGTTGGCATTGTTATTTTTTGTGATTCCGTAAGCGCCCTGCTCGCCATAAAGGATGAAAAAGATATTACATTTGTAACTGAAATTATTACATTAAGTACAAAATTATCGTATCAAGGAAAACACATACACTTAGAATGGATTCCTAGCCATTGTGGTGTACACGGAAATGAAATGGCAGATTTTTATGCAAAATCTGCTTTACAAAATAACATTGAAATTTGTAATAAATTATCCTTTTCTGAAATAAAGAGTATTATTACCAGCAAGTATATAAAACTCTGGCAAGACAGATGGAATAATTCTGATAGCTCTCTTAGACATATACTGCCTACAGTAAATCAACCATATGAATGTAAGTTGAACAGATTTGAAGAAAGTATTCTCCATAGATTAAGAATAGGAGTGATAGGTTTGAACTTAGATCTCTTCAGATTGAATATACACTCGACAGGCCATTGCACTAACTGCATAGGACGTACTGAAACTGTAAACCACTTCCTCACTGAATGCCCAAAGTACATAATAGAAAGAGCTATGTTACTCGTAGAAACTGATTTATCACATCCACAGGAAATCATGACACTACTTAAACTTTCAGAAATAGTTTTTAAAAAAAGCAATAGTTCGCTTCGTTTTAAGAACAAAGCGGCTGTATCAAAACCATTAAATTGTTGTTGATGTTTTTTTTTTTTTTTTTTTTTTTTTTCCTTATCTTCTCTTTTCCTTTTTCTTGCACCAATAAAGCCCACAATACTTGTAACTAATTTGACCTTTTACTTTTTCTAACAATTCGGTGATCACCTCCAACATCACATGCTAGCTGGCACCCCCTCACCTATGCCGGAGTGACCTAGGTTAAAACCGAAAGTCTGCGAAATATACCTCAAAGACTGGTAAGATGGCATTTTGAAAAGGGTGGGGGTAAGTGCGAAGTACACATGTGCATACGTGAGGTGATATTTGAACGCGCACGTGCGCGTAAACACAAGTAGGCCTACGTACTTTTAGTTTTAGTTAATAGGCGTTTTTCATTCACAACTTGCTAGGCCGTCGTCTCTTTCCAAAATTATTAATTTATTGAATTTTCTCTCTATAAAAAGTTATAGAGTCTAAAAAGAAAAAAAGAGGAAGGAAAGAGGATGGACAGAGAAAGAATCCCAAAAATAGTCATTTATGACATGAAATTGTACATATGTATGTATATAAATAATTCATAAAAATAGTGTGTGGCAAAAATAGTCAACTGTGACTGATTGCCAAACAAAAACAAATCAAGAAGAAGAAGAAACACTTAAAGATAAACTCCAGTACTGGTAAAAAAAAAAAATTAATTCTCACAGAATCAAACAAAACTTACACTGAATGTTCAAGATTACAAATAAATGACATGTGCCAAACAATTTTGGAAGAAAATGTATACTGGCTGAGTAATGAGCATAGAAAGACAAGGAAACCAAGGTAGTACCATCCCCGACACCATGTGTGTTGTCCCATATATAGCTTTCTATGTGAGTGTTTGTTACTTTACCAAGACTCGGTCAAATTTATTATGATTTTGATGACTCCAGAACCTTGCAGTGCACACCAATACTTACATGCTACATGATCAACTGTTTCTGATCCTTTCACACCTTTTCTTTCACAATGCAATCGCATTACCAGTACTAAAGTTTATCTTTAAGAGAAGAGGCGTAAATATTCACTTCTGAATGACGAACGCCTGTAAACTAAAACAACAACAACAACAACACAACAGCTCAAAACAAGACCGTTCGAAGGTTCTTCAACCATGTTGGTTGATCCTAGTTTTTTCTTCATTTTATATACAAAACTGAAGGTATGTATATGGAAAAGTTTTGGGCGAATTCGTTCATAAAATGGATTCTCACCGAGCCGGTCAACTCTGCACAGAGCTTCGCACCAGAAAGGCGACCGTTCACTGGGTGCGTCCATTATGACAAAATAGGGAGAATGAGTCTTGTTCATAACATAAACATAAAACAATGATGATTTTATTTGCATGTTTATGTCTTTTAATGAATCTTTAAGACGACACAAAAACAATAACAAGACTTTAAAACTGTTGAAGATTGAATTCATATCGATGCTTTAATATCAAAGAATTCACTAATTATATATCTAACCCCACAATCAAATGGAATATTCCTCTCTCAGGGTCTGAGGTTTACGACGAACAATTTTACAAAATCCTTTGTGTTTCTTCCTGATAACTGGCAAATTACACAAGAAATCCATGATGTATCACCATTTAATTATCATTACTACAGTCTACATATCAAGTTCTTTCCACATTTAGGTTGAAACTCACATATTGATAGAAATCACTACACAAAATGAACAGGTTCGGAGAACATTCCGAGAGGAGACGTGCTGTTTCAATTCACATGCAACGCAAGAGTGCGCACGCTAATGTGTACGTCTATGGAACTCGTGTAGTGTGGCATATTTCATGCTCTTGCGCAAAAAGGAGCATGCATGAGAGACAGAAAAAGTGCAACCTTTTCCTCTTATCCAATCAAAATGAATGATACATGACTGGAATCGTCGAACACTCTGCTTTAATTTGATATGCGAGATGGTGCAATTCGGCCATCTATTCAGTTCTACAGCCAAGATGAGTATGGAGAGTTGACGAATTTTGGGCGAAAATCGGTTGACCTCCATAGAGAAAGTGTCGTGAAAGGGTTTTTTGAAACATTTTTAAGCAAAAAGTGCAACCTTTTCCCATGAATGAAATTATTTCAAATTTATATCATCTTAAAGAGAATATATTGAATTTTAAAACACCGGCCGAGACGGTATTAAAAGTGGATTCAGTTAGGCTGTTGCTGTGATTTAGCGTAGGTAATGCATGAAATGGTAAGGAATTTCACGTGTTGTAGCTCACGGTGCGATGCGTGCGGAGCAGATGAACGAAAGTTTTTGGCGGCGGGCCGTGCTATTATTCTTATAAGTGCATATTATGCTAGGATTGTACCTGTATCTTTAATGTTTTTGAGGTTTGTAGGTCAAATTTGGGTCTCTTTTGAAGTATGGATAGTGATAAAAGTTATCTGGAGACGTTTATTATTGTTGTTGGTGTCATATCTCATAAATTCGGGATGACACGTGAGACCTAATTTTCTTAAGCTATTTTGGGACTTCAGTTAATTGTAGTACCTACACGTACAAATTATAAAGCGGAGGGATATTTTTAGACGCCAGTTTTAGTGATTCACCTTACGGTTAGTCTTGTTCCCTGATAGCAGAATGACGTCTTAAAGACGTCATAAATTAGTCGTAAAGTAGTAAACACGTCGTACGTCGTATGGACGACGTAATTACGACGTCATTATGACGTCTTCAAAAGACTATTTTTTCCAAGATAAGTTTTGTCGCATTGACGACGTCATAACGACGTCATAATGACGTCTTTAAAGGACTAATTTTTTCAAGATATTTTTTGTCTTCTCAACGACGTCATTATGACGTCTTTAAAAGAATATATTTTCCAAGATAATTTTTGTCGTATTAACGACGTCATAAAGACGTCATTTCGACGTCTTTAAAAGACTTTTTTTTCCAAGCTAATTTTTGTCGTATTGACGACGTGATAACGACGTCATTATGACGTCTTTAAAAGACTAATTTTTCCAATGTAATGTTGTCGTATTGACGACGTGATAACGACGTCATTATGACCTCTTTTAAAGACTATTTATTCCAAGATAATTGTTGTCGTATCGACGACGTCATTATGACGTCTTTAAAAGACTAATTTTTCCAATGTAATGCTGTCGTATTGACGACGTGATAACGACGTCATTATGACGTCTTTAAAAGACTAATTTTTTCCAATGTAATGTTGTCGTATTGACGACGTGATAACAACGTCATTATGACGTCTTTAAAATACTATTTTTTCCAAGATAATTGTTGTCGTATTGACGACGTCATTACGACGTAATTATGACCTCTTTTAAAGACTATTTATTCCAAGATAATTGTTGTCGTATAGACGACGTCATTACGACGTCTTCAAAAGATTAATTTTCCAATATATTTTTTGTCGTATTGACGACGTCATTATGACCTCTTTTAAAGACTATTTTTCCAAGAGATTTTTTTGTCGTAAGACCGACGTTATAACGACGTTATTATGACGTCTAGACTAGTAATAACCTAATTTTTTTCCAAGATAATAATCGGGTAAAGACTACAACATCTAATATGAGCATAAGTAAAAGTAAATAGGGCAATTATCAGAATTGAAAATAGGGAACAACTCCCCCCCCCCCCCCTCAAATGTTATTAGTCATTATATTAATAGTGGACCAATTTACAGATTGTGCACCATCTTAACGCGCACCAAGGTTTGCAATATCGATCAAGACTATACATGCTCGCATCTACTAGTATCATGCTATTTCAAACGGGAGTATGTACATACGTGTGTGTACAGGTACACACAGTACTCAAGGCAGGGTGTAGGACTACACTGCACTATGTGATGTGTATGTAGGCCTAATGTATTTGAATTCAGAGTGAAAAAGCCGTTGCATGAAGTATCATCCTCCTGAACAGACCTACTCTCGTTTTCTCCTGCAAATTTACAGTATGGGTAAGTCTTAGAATTACCTAATTTATTTACAAAAAGTACATAAATCTATAGTTACTTTTTTTCGTTCTGATAAGTTGATATGTAGACTCTATGTTACTGTAATGTATGAAGGGGTGACCAAAGTTCGCGGATATTTTTCTTTTACTGCACATTACAAAAATCCAGATCAACAAATATCATGTTCCATACGTCATAAGATTCGTAATTTATCATATGATCAGATTATATAATATTCCAAGGCTTTATTCACTTCAAATCAATGATAAGACGAGAATATCGGAAGCCTTACCACTACCGACGTCCGTCAAAAAGTGTGACCTAAGTTCGCGCATGATATTTACTGCCCTCTTGTGATGGGCTTTATATATGTAAACATTCCAAAAAGTTACGTAGTTTCAATCAGAAGCCGAACTTTATATTGAGACTTTGAAAAAGATAATAATTTCTCTCTATCATTGAAATATTGCCCGATAAAAATACCCTTGTTAAATTTTGCAAACAAAAGACAATATTTGTCAATGTTTATGTGTTATTGACAATGTAGTCTCTATCTGCATGTCATTTGTTTATTTGAAAAAATTATCATGTGTCTCCTTTTTATATGTCAGCCATACACAAGTTCTTGATCTTTTCTCTCTTTGTCTCTCCACTTTCCCCTTTTAAATTTGTATTCTTACGAAACCCATAGATTCATTGAAATTCACAAACACAAATACGGTGGGATTAAGCAGGTGCGCAGGTTCGTTTTTTGCGTAAGAAATTGGAATTTTATCATTAGTTTTCGGAGTCAATCCCTCTAATAAACTGATTTTCATATAACAAAAACACAATTTGTTATGATAAAAAGCGTGAAATAGCTAGCTTATTCACATTTTTATGTCGCATTTTGACCTTTGGAGTTGTCGACGGGTGCTCAAAGATTTCGTTGTCTCAGTGCACATAGGCATCGAGTATCGTTTTCCTGTTATAAGCGCTTTTAATGTTAGTACGCGAACTTTGGTCACACCACCATATGATCTTATGTCAGTGATAGTGAGCTCGGACTTTCAACACTTGCTGACAAGATTTGAAATGTATGATCCCATATATGTATTTTTATGTAGGGTCTTGATTGATGGGATGCATGGCATGGGGAATCATTTGAAGCAAAAAAAGTTCACTCATTTGCCTACTCGTGGGCTGCATGGCTTTAAAGGGAAATATAACTCGAATATACAACTGCTCTAAACTAAAAGAAAGAAAAATAAGACTGAGAAGCAAACTGATGACTCTAGGAGTAGGACTGCTAAGTCACACCAAAGACAGATAATACATGCAGTCACGCGTGACACAGTGTGAGAGTGTCTACTTTATTCCAAGCAATACTGTAGATCTACTACTAGTTCAGAATCATATCCAGACTTTTTGACCAGTGACCCATAACTCTGGCGTGGAGAGAGTCCTAAAAATCTAAAACGTAGGTCTAGATCTAGGACTAGGCCTACCCCAGATCAAGCAAATATTCATGGAATGTTCAAATAATGCTGGTCATGATTTAAAAGTCGTTATGTTTCGAATCTGTTTCTGGTCAATTTTCTTATTTTGGGGGGAGTATTTTTTGGAAAAACGTTGATAGTAGTATACACTTTCTGACAGGTTGCACGGCAAACCGCTGCACAATACAAGTGCATACAGATGGTGGGTTGCGGGGGCACGTACGTCTGCGCGAAGTGATCTACCTCCTCATTGTATGGTAGATAACTTCACACAGGCGCGCGCCCGCCCGCAACCACCATCGGTATGCACTTGTAATGTGCAGCGGTGTGAGAAAGTGTACTACCGGCCCGGGCCCAGATGTCTGGGAATTGAGCATTGGGTGTCGATACGTGTCGACAGTGACCGATAACGTGTCGACACTGACTTGTGTCACAAACATGTAACCTTAAACAAGTCGTTTCTATAGTCTTTAGACAGCAAATTTATAGGCTACCGTATACAGAAATCTTTATCTGGAAATAATTGGTTAGACCTGTAAATGGTAAACAAAATTCTTTCCACACAGGCTGTTCAAAGAAGTTTGTAGTATATGTGTTGCACATCCATACATTTTAAACCATTTGTTTTGTTTTAACTTTATTCATTTTCTCATTTATTTGTAGGCATCCTTTTTTTAACATCTTTCGTCAAAGAAGTGGATTCAAAGCACATTGTGACCTCAGTATATTGATGTGAAACCATGCAGAAAATGCTACTTTCTCTCAACCTTGTGGATGTTCCCTACTTCCCTAAGGATCAGCAGCCTCTTGAAACAGTTGAAGCCATTATCGGTAAATATGTACATGTACTTCATTTATTTCTGTACATTTATTTGTCATATTGTGCATGATCACTGAGACACCGACTAGTTAGACACTACAGAATGGTTCATTTCATTTTAAAGGCTTATTTCAGTTATTTGTCCTAAGTTTCAAATACATTTATAATTCAATTAATTTTAGATCACTAAAACCTGCAGGTATGTTGCAATAACTGACAATATTATGTGAGTTTCAAACAGTGTTTTGTACCCTTCAGCATAGGTCAAGGAGCTTTCATTCTACCCTCATCAGCAAAATACAGGAATGCCAGTTTTCAGGCCCTGGCAAGTTATTTTCATACCATAGTTTAGGTTTTTTGTGTCCAAGCTAGCTCATTCTAGGTAATTTTTCAGGCTGGCATTCTAACTGGCATCCCTGAAACTAGAATTGTATTGATAATTTACCAAACAAAATCCTGAATCACGTTTTGCATTGCCCACAAATGTTTAAAATCCAAAGGTGTGTTGACTTTATGTTTGTGAGCAATAAGAAATTATTTCTGATAAATCTTACTAAGCCGTACTTTTCTGACAGAATTCATTATTTAATTCATTGTTTACGTTCCAGTTTTAAAATATATGAAAGTTTTTCTTAAATTGTATTCCTTTCTTTTTGCTTTATTCATGCATTAGAATTCCTTGGATCTGAAAGCAGTGCATAATGAAGGAGATTCCACCCAAAAGCTAACCCACAAGTCCAAGCTGAAGTGGAATATTTCAAAAAATTTGATCTACACTCACCTGATAGCTTTACTGCTAGAGAAAGGGGTTTTTTTTCACTTCATCATACTTTATAGAGAGAGAATGGCTAAGCTGTAGAACTGAAATTCCCATTCATGTCACTTGAAATTTTAATGAATTAATGGATTTACAAACTGACATAATAACGATTTGGGTAAAAGTCTAAAAGATTTGTAATTACTATTTATGAAGTTGACCTGTTTCATAATGCTTATGTAGTAGACTTGATATGCTCAGTCTCATGCTCACCCCCCCCCCCCATACGCTTCATATCAGTTCTTAAAACCTGTTGCAAATTATATATACATTGTAAGTTGGTAATAGAGAAAAATTGAGTGAGGTAAATGCAATACAAATCAATTCCATTATTAAGCAATTATAAGACTTGTGCAGGTATGGCACCTGAAACTCCAACAAATTTCAAAAATTATGCTCTTTTTAATAATATACACTATGTAAAGCATATTGAACTCTATGTCAACATTTAAAAAAAACTCTGCGATTTTGACTGTTTTGCAGCATCATATCTGAGCCAGCCTTAAAGGGACTTGGTAACATTGTTCAGATGAGAGAAAATGGTGCTAAGGTATTGACTTCAATGCTATATGTACACTTAAAGATAATCTGAAAGTTTGAGTGAAAAAATACCATTATTGATGATAAAAATTGGGAACAACTGATCTGATCGATTCCTTGATTCTCCCAACTATATTATTATAATTGGCCTGTTTTATATCTTATTTTCAAAGAGTGACACACAGTGGCGCCTTCAAAGAAAACCATAAATATATTTGTGGTTTGAGATTTTTTTGTAGTTAAAAGTATAAAATTCTTGGATTGTATCTGTGATTTTGAGAGCACTATATGGCTTACATATATTGAATTCGCTGTTAAAATTTAAGTTAAATTTATTTTTTGTGAAACTCCCCCCAGGAGTTTCAAACGTGCCAAATGAATGTTGTGACATTAGCAATGGAATACATCTCTTTGTGCTAAACTAATTAAATAAATAACTAAATAATTATTGCACAGTCACCTTGGAATTTCCCAACAGAGCCACTCATACTGGCGGGAATGTTATCTGATAGAAATTGTATTTTTATACTTGAACTTATTTTGCAACGAGATTTGTTTTGATGATATTTATAAAATATGAATGTTGCCACTAATGCCTTTTCTTGTATTTAAGTCATGTGCCAGTAAGAAGCAGGTTTCTAGCACAGATAATAGGTACAGTTGAGCTGATTTCTGCACAGTTTTCCAATATGCTGTATTGTCAAATGTGAACATCGTGGTTTCAACGGGCAAGCAACCATCATCAGAAAACTCTGCAGGTATCAGTGAAGCTGTCTCTGTTCCCCTTGCTGCCAACTTGTTCCTTTTGAGTGTAAGAAATAACTTAGCTTAGCCATGTGTTTATCATTTGTGCCATTTTCTCTTGTGTGTAATTTAGATTGTATAGTTTTATACTTTAGACTGAATTCTTGCCATAAACTTAGATATTCCCCTTGTATGTAACAAGTATTGATCTTTCATGCTCAGGAATTGTTTCCAACAACCTTTTGTTTTATGTAATAGTCTTTATCTGCATTAAAGTCTTGGGGATGTGAGGAGCAGTGTTGCAGCATGGAGACGAGGTAGAGCTGCACTGAAAGCCCAGCTTTCCACTATGCTGTTTTGCTGAATATGAGGAACTTCCCCAGTCTGATGTTTTCTTGTCTACTAAACAACTGCGGGTATCAGTGTAGCTTTACCTAGTCTCTATGCTGCTAACCTGCTTCTCACAACCGCAAGACTTATAAGTTACCAGGTAAGCCAATATATGTCATAGTTTCTTGTAACTGAATTAAATTTGAAATGAAGTAGCACAATTTATAACAAAACAAATATCTTTGTGATGGCCTGTTAACTTTCTTAAAATCAGTTATGAGACTGACAGAAATACACTAGGTATTTATACAGCATGTTTTGGAAGAAGTGTCAGGATGGTGATGGAAAGATTCTGTGTGTATAGAAGACAAGTTAGATAGAAGAAGGTATAAAAATAAGTATTCTATATTTTTATTATCGATTTTCATACCATATACATGTACATTAAAAATTTGAAAATTACTTTCTGTCTGGCATGTGTATATATTATGTGATGCAATATTTGTTGCTCTATTTTTACTGTGTGAATGTTCAGAATTTATTCATGAAGTGACTTTTACACTTTCTTCCTTGATCAGGTGGTCATATAGATGTCATTTAGAGGACAAAAAAGACGTAAAGAACATGTAAGGATAAACGGTACATCGAAATGACCAGTAAGATGTAAATATCACGTCAAAATTTGATGTCCATACAACGTATACACGTCGTCTGTAGGACGTCTTTCTTGGGTAAAAGTTGACGTCTTAAAGACGTCTTTCTTGGACCAATAAGACCAGAAAAAAATATGACGTCCATACGACGTCTTCCAGGGTACAAGTTGACGTCTTAAAGATGTCTTTCTTTGACTAATAAGACGTTAAAATCACGACAAAATATGACGTCCATACGATGTCTTCCTGTAGTACAAGGTGACGTCTTAAAGACGTCTTTCTTTGACTAAAAGATGTAAATATGACGTCCATACGACGTTTTTCTATGGCACAAGTTGACGTCTTAAAGACGTCTTTCTTTAACTAATAAGATGTAAACATCACGTCAAAATATGACGTCCCCACGACGACGTACGCGGGTACAAAATCATGTCTTTTTGACGTCGTGTTATGTCGTCTTAAAGACGTCTTTCTTTAACTAAAAGACGTAAATATGACGTCCATATGACGTCTTCCTGTGGTACAAGTTGACGTCTTAAAGACGTCTTTCTTTGACTAGTATGACGTAAATATGACGTCCATACGACGTCTTCCTCAGGTACAAGTTGACGTCTTAAAGGCGTCTTCCTTTGACTAATAAGACGTAAAAATCACGTCAAAATATGACGTCCTCATGACGACGTACGCGGGTGCAAAATCATGTCTTTTTGACGTCGTGTTATGTCGTCTTAAAGACGTAGTGCAAGACGTAAATATGACGTGATATTTACCAGTCTCTGCTATCAGGGTTTACGTCGCGCTAGGTAATATCGCTTTATTCGTTTTAATACTTAAAAAGGGAATGGATTTTTGTAATGTGATTTATAGTATGCTGAATGGATTCTTTATGTAATTTAGAAACGAGACAAAGCAACATTTTTATTTTGCTTAAAGAAGACAATATTTATTATAGAGTATAGAATTGAAAGGAATAGTTATAATATAATAATAGTTCGAATGTGAATCTTTACTTCTAGTTGCTTTACTCTATAGTCTTAAACTTAAATACACCCTTGAAGGTCATGTATTTACTTTAGTTTGCATACAAAGAATGTAATCTAAGGAAAAAGGAACAATTTGTTTATTTTTTAAACAATAGTCATTCTTTGTTTTATCTTTGTTTCTCTACAGGATTCACACGATTGTTGAATGTGCTTTTCAGCACCACAACTATTAAAGGGAAGCTAATTCAAGTTCACGCCTCCTGTGTGGTCATTATAACAACGTGGAAGTTTAAACACGGTCTTAAAACACCTGATAATCCGCGTTTTAATTTCTTCTTTTTTCCTTATTCTTTTTATTTTTTGTCAAGGATGTCTCTTATAACAGAATATTGTAATGTAAAATCTATATACAGTTAGACGCAGGAAAAATCACATATTTGAGTGACGTTTCCAAGTATTAAACTGTTTTTTACAAAACATCTACCTTAACAATTGTGAAAACACAAGATCACTTCTATCATCGCAAAACTTCTCGGGAAAACTCTTCCAATTATACAAACAATTTTCCTCGCACATTTATTTTATGTACATACATAGTAACAATCTTGGATTGACACATTTAAACAAGACGACTTGCAAAATGAATACATGATTACAAAGTCCTAATTGTTTAAGTTTATATCAAGTTAATAAATCATTTGAAATTAATGTCTAAAACAGACAACAATAGCAACAAAATCACGACTAGTGATAGACGTGCGGGTGGTTAGGACTCTTAGTAATACTTTCATGCTATTGTCGCGAGACGCTGTGTGTCTTTTTGCACGTGCGTGCCCACAGCTACGGTTTGGTGTAAGGTCAACTCCTAGGATTCGCACGCCGGTCATTCTCACGATCCCCGTTGGCGCCTATTACTCCTTACAAACAAACACCCCCCCCCCCCCTCTCACCTTCAATAATCCTCCCGGGGAACTCTTAATCTGTTTTATGATAAGGTCCAATATTTTATTGCATATCTACCAGACTACCACTATTTGCTTATTCCACCATGCTTATTCATGATGGGGCGTATTTAGGGATAAATGGATGTTGTCTGAGTGGGCATTTGGTTGGGGGGTTAAAGGGGCACGTTCCCGCCAGTGTAGTTATCGGAACATGCCATCTGCGTAAGAGCCGTAATCTATTTTACATAGTCGGATAGAATTGGTTCTGGTGTTGAGCCGGGCAGGCGCGTACGCAGGGGGGGGGGGGGGGGGGGGTTTTGGGGGTTAAACCCCCCCCCCTTTGGAAATTTTTTGTGTGTAAACCCCCCTAAAAAAAACCTAAAACCCCCCCCCCCCCCCCCCCCCCCCCCCCCCCCCCCCCCCCCCCCCCTTTTGGATTTTTTTTTTTTTTAATTATTAAAAAAAAAAAAAAAAAAAAAAAAAAAATTATTCCCATGGCCGACCTAAAAAAGGTGACCTTACACCCCCCAACGGAGCAAAATGTCAAATTTCCAAATTTCGAGACCAAAAAAAAAAAAAAAAAAGTGTCCTCTTACCCCCCCCCCCCCCCCCCCCCCCCCCCCCCCCCCCCCCCCCCCCCCCCCCCCCCCCCCCCCCCCCCCGCTTATTCAGCGGTCGGCTGAGTCGTTGCGATTTTTTTGGGACCAAAAAAAAAAAAAATGTGTCCTCTTGCTGCTGCTGCTGTGGTGGTGGTGGCGGGTACCCCTGCTGCCCGAGTTGTTGTGGTGAAGGGTACCCCCTGCTGCCCGGCTTGTTGTGGTGGAGGGTACCCCTGCTGCCCGGCTTGTTGTGGTGGAGGGTACCCCTGCTGGGGTGGAGGGTACCCTTGCTGTGGTTGAGGGTAACCCTGCTGGCCCAGAGCCGGGACAACTGTCGTATTTCCCCCGTATGTTGTGGTAGTGATTACTCCTACAGGCGCCGCCCAGGGCTGTATCACCACAACCCGCTGGCGATCGAGGAGGGAAGAAATTATGTTTAAAAAATGTAATGAATCATTTTTAGAAAAGGACAGAAAGGAATCGGGATAGAGACATAATATTCTGAAAGCGGAATGGGAGAGAGAGAGTGGGTTGGGATTTCAAGTAGATATAATTTCTGTATTTCAGCATGTCAAAGATGTTGGGTAAACGAAAAAAACAACCAAAAACTCAAGTAAATATTCAGAAGCTGCAAGAACTCTGCTTCAACAAATACTACAATAATATTTTTATTTTTTGATAAATGTTATACGAAACGTAATTGATATTTTTCAAGGCTTTGATACAAATTTGACTTAAATTACTTTTTTTTTGTGGATGAGAGGAAAAGTCACATAAAATAATCTAAGCTTTTTGTAGGAGATTTTATTATTATGTTTCCCTTTCAATTTAACATAATTCACATAAAATAATCTAAGCTTTTTGTAGGAGATTTTATTATTATGTTTCCCTTTCAATTTCCCTTCTTTAATCTGCAGTGTACCATTTGAGGACTACATGCATCCAGTACTGACTCTGCTCTTTTCTACTAAAAATCATGATGAATTACTTGTTTATGTCTTTAAATTTTATGAATATACTTACGTATGATTTGCCATTTTATTTTGTATAGTACGTATAATCATGAAAACTGATCCTTAATATTATTATTTGTAGTGAAATCATTGAATAAATCAAATCAAATCAACTATTAAAGAAAGAGAGTAAGTGATCTGCATAATTACCGCTGATCGAGCAGCCATGACGTCAGAGATCCGACCACGGCCCTCGTGTAGTTCTTGATACTGTGAGATAACACACAGCAAACATACGATCTAAAAATGAAAAAAAACAAGTTTTTAGATTTCGTATTTGGTAAAAATAGATCCACACGATTCATGTAAGTCAAAAGCACTGCTAAACAATTTCCAGAACAAAATTAGTGTTGATTTGTGTTCAGTAATAATGTTACAAATAATGAAATTTTAAAATTTTAAAATTTAAAAACAGGAATACCCCGTTCTTGTATTTTGCATATAAAATTTTGTTTAAAATCCCTATGGGCTATCGAATATTTTTGAAATCATTTCTCCAGCTTTTAGAACGTGTCAGGAAGTGATTAGTGCAGAGTTTGTACTGTTTATTCTTTCATTTGATTCAAAAGTCGATGACTTGCAAATTACAATAATGACTGTAATCATTTAAAGGGGAAGTCCGCCCTGATAAAAAGTTAGTTTTAAAAGAAGCAGAAAATGGGAGAAAGAGGTCATTGAAAGTTTGAGCAAAAAAGAACATAAGAAAGTTGTAGTTTTTTTAAGTGTGATCATTGAAACACAATTTTTTATTTTCGATTAAGAAAATTTTCAATCATATATTTATCATAAATATATTCATGGCAAAATATGTTTTGATACAACACTCTAAAAAAATGAAGTGCTAAATCACGGGTGCTGGGTACAAATTTGCACCACATGTGCCAAGTGTAGCCCTTGGCGTGCATGCAGCGTCTGGGAAGCAATGTCGAGCAGAAAATGAGTGCTGGAAACACGTGCTATTCGAGAAATTGCACCCGAAGTGTGACCCTCCCTGTTTTAGCACTTGAATAAACACCAGTAGTGCTGGCGCTCCATGCGCAGGCGCACCAGCGTTCCAGGTGCTAAGGCAGTGCTTCACACAAAAGAAATTCAAAGTAATTTGAAATTAAAATGAGAAAGATCGCCACTCGGCTATAAAAGAGCGGGGATCTGAGAATGTATTCTTTTCATTGCCTTTTAATTCTGCTTGTGCATGATGACACCTTTGAGCTTTGATGTTTGATCAGTATGCATGAAACAGTTCTGTGTTTTTCCCCTTGGTTACAATAGTTTTTGTCAATAAAGAAGTGAGTCTTTTGTGACTACCCATTCGTTACCATGAATGTGACATGTGGCGTCTTGAGAGGTATGTTTGAGGTGCTTAAAGTAGGCTGAAAATAATAGGGCTGTTTAACAAAAGGGTGAGTTTTCAACACTACAGGTGTGATTTTGTGCATGCTGTTTGTGTGTGTTCTTTAGCACTATACTGGGTGCAAAAGTGTTAGCACCATTAGTGCCGTTTTGGGGGCTCTAAAAGGGGTTATTTAATGTACTAGAAGTGTTGTTTTTTGCGAGCTGCATGCGTCTAATAGCACCAGAAGTGTAAACAGACTTACACTTAAAGTGTTTAAAGTAGCACTTGGACTGGTGTTAAATTATAACACGTGTACAAGTGCTACTTTAGCACAATTTGGGCAGTCCCTATGCGTCCCCTTACAGGTGCTGCCCCCAAATCTTGAGGTGCTAAAATTAGCGCTTGAATTTTTAGAGTGAACCCCTGTTTTAAACAAGTCTTTTACCTCATCAATAACAAAGAAAATTACAGTTTATGACATTTTTCTGTACAGATGAAGTGGGAGAGGAGCTTGCATGATAAATCACATTACTTTCAATTTCTGTTACACTGATGAAAGCTTCAAAAATTCGACATTTAAGAATGTGCAGTTAACAACTAAATAAATCATACCCCTTGTAAATTGGATGTTTTTTTCGTAGCTGGTTGAATGCTTTTAGATGTAAGCCTTACATTTTCACATCCTTAAGAAACATAAATCAGGACGAATCAATAGTTCACACACTCGAAAAATTACTAAACTTGGCGAGGGTATGAATAATTTAGATGTAACCTTAATCCTTATGGGCGTTGTCTAAACGCAAGTCGAAAGTAATACGTCGTAAACCTTCAAAATGTCACGAGTCTTATAATTTTGTATTCTAAAACAGCAGTTTTTATGGTTTCCTTTCATGAAATGACCTAAACTGAAACCAGTAAAGCAGCATATAAAATCAGTTTATAATAATCCTCTTGATTTATAGTCTGTTTTGGAAGAAAATATAACTGTTGCATTAAACAGAGCCATGGCATGGATTAAGGAAAATCGTCTCGGCCTTAACACTTAAAAAACTTGTCTCGTGCTAATCTCAGGAAAGTCAAATCTTTCACCATTTCCTTCAATGGCAATTTGATAAAAAAAAGAGTTCAATTCACAAAATGCTTAGATCTTGATAGATGAAGAATTGAAATGGTCTAAAAAAAAATCGTAAACTAACCCAGAAAAATATTGGTATAATGAAGGGAGCAACGAGTTTTTTACCTAAACAATCCTTGAAGTAATTTTATAACTGTCTATTGTTGCCATTATATGATTACTGCTCTGTTGTATGGTCAAATAGATTTCTTTCCCATACAACTAAGCTACTAAAAATGAAAAAAGGGCCGCGATAATAATATTAAACAAGACATATGACACACCGTCGGCTGATTTGTTCACAAATCTTAAATGAATGACACTAGACAAACGGTTGGAGTTTAGTCGCGTTATGAGGATATATAAATTAGTTCATAACTTAGCACCTTCTTACCTTAAGGCAGGTTTAAAGGTACTATGTCCCATTTGCTGGCCAAAAATGAAACGGTTATATTCCAATAGTTTTGGAAGACAATAATAATTTAGAACTTCGCTCATTGAAAATGGCTTTTAGTCGGAAAATGATGACCATTAGTTGTCGAATCGACTTAAGCGATTGCAATCACTTAATTAACAGTCTGATTTTCAGACCTTTTTACCGAATGGTCGTACGTTTTGTGGTGCACAAAGATTCAATCAGTTTAATTTTGGACATTACAAGTAGTAGCTTGTTGATGTAGAAAAATGCTCATGTACCTGTTACAGGCCATTTTATGTACACTGTCGCTCATAAAGGTGGAATATTTTGTTTTTATCCCAATTTATGGAATTATTTTAAAAATAATTTTGAAATAATAGATGTAGATAATAGTATACATTCTCAGATTTTATTGAATAATAATTTGCCAATGTGTGTTTTGCGTGACTGCTAAAGCATGTGTATGCTACAATGCTTATCAACTAGGGGACCTATGCCCTTAAGTCATAAATGACAGTAATGAGGATTCATACCCACAAAAGGGCACTAATATAGCACATCGACACGGTTTTGATTCTGGGGCCTCACAGTTACGAGGCCATTGATTTGTCACTGAACCATGACTGTACGCAGTGGGGGCTAGGGTAGGGGGCAGTTTCCATAAATAAAAAAAAACACAGAAAATGCAATAAATTTTCAATAATTTATTGCATTTTACCTCGGTTCCCAACATAAACAAATCTTCTGTGTTTCCATGCATTGAGCCATAATGCACGGAAGTCCAGAGGATTTTTTTTTATGTTGGGGACCGGGGTAAAATGCATTTTCTGTTGTTTTTTTTTTCATTTATGTTGCCGTTTATTGTGCCGTTCATGAATAAGAGCGATTTAATCGAAATTATTAATAGAAGTTTCTAAATTGGCAACGCAGAGTCAAATTTTATTCACATCATTGTATGTATAAATTGGCAGCTTCTTGCTGAGAAAATGACAGAGTAGCATTACAAATGATTGTTGCCAATGTCAATGTCTACAAATCCAAATTAAAAACATATTTGTTCAATTGAGAGATTCTATTTTGTAGAATTTAATATTTAAAAAGAAGGAGCTCTGAACCAGCGTAGCTGAATATGCTTTGTATTAAAGCTGCGCTATATAAATTTATTATTATTATTATAATATGAGTAGAAACGTTTGATTTGTTTAGACCCTGTTATAATATGACAAATATGGAGGAGGACAATACTTACGTTGAGAGAGGTGAAACCGATCCAGAAAAGAAAATCGATGATCAGAAGAATAGCGGCAAAACCCTTGAATAAAAAGGACAACACACTTATCAGTGGAAAAATGTACTACATCCATAAATCGAAGTTCTGAGAAAAACACGATTTTTGTAATTATCATAGTTAACAATAACAGTTTGGAATGATACTTTGGCTGATTATACCTTTGTATGATACAAGTATAAAACCACTCTTTTTAAAAAAATCTAAGCCTGCACAAATACTTTTCATGAATTTATGTTTTTTAATTTTTGGTGATGTAGTACCTTTTGGAACCGAAATTCTTGCTTGTTGTATGCACGTTACAATGCATAACTTAAAGAGATAAACTACCTTTTGGAACCGAACTGATTTTTAGATAGCATGTTTTACTTGTTGTGTGGAAATTCAGCTTTTTAGAAGTGTCAGTGTATGCGGCTATTGGAAATGTGTACATTTAATGCACACACACACAAAAAAACACATTTTGATAAAAATGGATGTAGTCCCTTTTGAAACCGAGGTCTTCATATATTTTTATTTATCTAGGGTTTTTTAGTACTTTCTTCCCCAACTGTCTATGAACAGAAGCCATTATTTTTAGCGTACTTTGACAGCCGAAATACAGGTGGCATAATAGTTAGGCGTTTCTTTGCTGAGTTGTTAATAACGTTTGAATATAAACATCCGAGAAGAGATCAATTTGATGAATTTATCCGTGTTTTTCAGTAGGTTTGGATATTTCACCAATTATGTTCATTAATTCACACATTTTAAGAGTTAAAGTCTACATAATAACAAATATTTAGTTTATACATTAATAAGAACACAAATGATCAGGAAAGTATACCTATTATTCTTTATTTATGTAGCCTTTCCCCGGGAATATGTTTAAAGATGAAGAGAAATGAATGATTATTAGGAATTCATAGAATGTTGGGTTCTTCTTTTTTTTACCAGTTTTACTGCGGTTCGCACTTGGATGCAACTATGTACAGCAATTACACAGTATAGATTCAGAATGTTTTTCACAATTGTTCAGAATTCAGAACCTTATGAGTTCGACATTTTCGTGTTTTTTGTAGTCGTGTAAGTCGTCTGAGTT